AAAATGCAATGGCATGAAAATCTCAAAAATCAATTTTTCATTTACAGTCGGACAGAAAACCAATAAATGCTTAAACTGAAACAACGCTTCAAAAGCATACAAGGCAAATGGAAGTTAAATCAAACACATTTTAAATAGAAAAAATTACAAAAATAAACGTGGCTAAAAAGTTTGGTTTTTAAAAAGATATTTGCAGTCAACATTTATTTGGAATTATTATGACATTATTCATAATTCCTGTTTTTATTTCCCTTTTATGACAATTTTTTGCTCTTAGTTTATTCCCATAAACTATAACTTTGCTGTTAAAAATGGAGTCTGTCATAGACACCTATGTGTTTTTTTTAAATTCTAACTTAATTTTATTGTTTTACTCTGACCTGTTGTCTGTCTGTCTCTGACTCAGTCACCTGTCTAGTTCTACACTCAGGGAGCTCCTCCACATCTGTAGCCCCTTCATCAAACGAGCCTGCCTTATCACCGGCTATGTGAGTATTTGTGTGTGCATAGCTTTGCAGTGTATATATACCGGGTAAAGTAAGCATCGAACACGTCACCAATGTTCTGTGTTAATATATTTCTAAAGGAGCTATTTACATGAATTTATCACCAAATGTTGGTAACAACCCATCAACTCCACACATTCAAAGAAATGAAACCATAGATTTCCAAGAATTAAGTTATTACATCGCTAAAACGTGGTCCACCTTTTGCGGCCTCGCTGTTTCGTGGATTTTTTGGGGGGCAATTTTCCATACTTCTTCTTTTCTTTTCTTTTTTTTTAAACAGCCATTGTGTTCTGCATCCTGATTGGCTGTAGACAATTATCAATCAATCTTGTGCTGCGTCTCCATGAATGCGTTCAGCTTGTCAAATTTATATAAATCTTCGATCACTGGTAGTGTGACTCTGAGGTGCTGTTTTCTCTCCAACAAACACAACACTGTTGACGAAACATTTTGCACCATCAAAGGCTCCTGCGGTAGCACCCAAAGGGCAGAGGAAGATGCTATCCATTGCACAAAAAGTTGGACTTCTGGACATGCTAGTTACCCTATTTTTTGGATTAGGTGCATTAAGCGAAACAAACAGTCAGATAAGTCAAACTTTACTC